ACAAAGGCACACTGTCCTTAAGAGAAGCCAAAAATACACGTGAGAAATGGCTCCTTGGGTTAGAAACCAGCCAAGGAGGATCTTTGTGATCCAGAAAAAGTTCTGTCCCAGCAGAAGGTTGTGGAGTGATTCTACTCCATTTACAGGTTGTTGGGATAATTTTGTTTCAGTTTGTTGTGTTTGGTACCTGACTTGTTCCTCATTTTCTGTGTAGACGTGGTGGTTTGGGGAGCATCAGAGCAAGGAAGGTGCTTCAGCCCCTGCACTTCCCACGGTTCTCTCGCTGCCATAGCAGGAAAAAAAGAATGAAACGGGAACGTCTGCTGCTTGGTTTTATGGGTGCTTATATTACAGATAAGCAGTGGATAATTAGATTTATTTTTATGGCTTAGAATTTATTTTTATGGATTAGAATTGGTGGGTCACTTGGAGGGCAGGTGGAGGCAGCATTTCATGATCTTGACCGTCTCACATCATCTCTCCTCCCTCCCCATCCCTTTTTTTATCTGCATTTTTGGTCACTGGGAAGTAAGAGACTTCTGTACCCTCCTTCATGTACTTTAGGGCGTTTTTCTCAGTCTTGCCTGTTCCATGGGCTATAATCAAAGTTTTATTTGTATCGTCTGAGTAATATGTGTGGAGAATGTCAAACAAAAATTCAGGAGACTCATGTCTGGTCTCGATGGGAGGAGCTGAGGCAGATGGGCACAGAGGACAGCTGTATTAGTGACAAAACTGTCACCTGTCTGCCCTGGGCACTACTGCAGTCTTATTGTTTAGGATTTAAAGTCCCTGTAAGGCAAGTGCAAACACACGGTCTCTAAGGAAAAAGAAGCTGCATGCAATGTGAGTTACTGGTGGAGAGTAAATATAGATCTATATTTTTTTTGTCCTGCTTTTTGCACTGTTCTGAGTAATTGTTTTTTCTTCTGAACATTATTGAAGCTTGAAAATACTGATTCTTGCTTAATTACTGTGTGAATTCAAGCTTGACCTTGAAGGAAAAACATCTTTGCTGTGAGGGTGGCAGAGCCTGGAGCAGGCTGCCTAGAGAGGCTGTGGAGTCTCCTTCTCTGGACATATCCCAAACCTGCCTGGATGCGATCCTGGGCAACCTGCTGTGGGTGACCTGCTGGAGCAGGGGGTTGGATGAGATTATCTCCAGAGGTCCCTTCCACCCCTGCCATGCTGGGATTCTGTGTTACTCTGTGAGATGGGGAAGCAATGGTTAGAACATATAAGGGGGGCATCTCCTTTCTCAGTTTTGTCTGAGGAAAAGACTGTGCAAAGAGCCACGGAAGAGGTGGGACAGGACTGGGAGAAGCGGTGAGAAGACACCTGTGGGAAGGACCCAGGAAGAGCCTTGGTCAGGGACTCCTGCTCTTTAAGCAGGTGAGGTAAGGACATGGTGGAGGTGTGATTTCTCATCAAGGAACAGGCAAAAATCCAGGTCAAAGAGATCAATGAGGATGAAGAGGAAGGGAAGAGGTTACGGGTGCTGATGGCCTGAAAGCTGTGGGCCCCAAGAGCCTTGGACAACAGAAGGAAAAATGAGCAAAGAGGAAGCAAAGAGGGGATGTGGTGGGCACCTGGTGAGATTTCTGCACAGTTGGTAATGGAGCAGGGTGAGACAAGGGCAGTGGGGGAACTTGAACCAATTTCAGCCCCACAGCTCTGGTCCTCATCCTGACCGGGGCTGGAGCCAGGTGTCCGCAGGAATTTTTCCCACCACAGGTGAAGCACAAAATCTCCAGCAGCTGCAGGGCTGGGCTGGGCTGTGCATGGGATCTCTAATGCCTTTTAATGTATTAATCAGGTCTCCTTTGCACCCTGGTGACTTTTCCTCCTTTTGGTAAAGTAATTACCTAAAAACTGGTAGAGCCTGTGCAGCTTTGACTTTTACAAGGTGCCTCGTCGGATACTAAAATACAACACCAATAATCCCACGTGATTTAAAAAAAAAAAAAGCAAAACCTATCTCTGCAGCCAGTAATGCCCAGGTTTTAAATTTTCTGGTGATTTTCTTTGTAAACTGCTCAGCAGGGTATTATTCAGGCAGCTGCATCGAGGGACTAATATAACATGTGTTCTCAATTTTGGACCCTTTATGTTAGGAATTTTCCATTGTGCAATTGCATTAAATCTGAGGCAGCTGACAAGAGGACGATGTTTTCTAACTCTGCACAAGGTTAAATGACTGAAATAAAAATAGATGGAAAGGAAAACAAAGTAAAATAAGTTTGCTTTCTAAGGTAGTGGCAGGCAGTAGTATGAGGTCAGGGACTTAACGAGAGCCCAGCCATCAGTCAGGGACCCTGAAACAACCAATCCTCCCTCAGTCACTGTGGGAATGATCTTCTGTTTCAGATGCTCCTTCTGTTTCATTCACACAAATCACAGAACCAAGAAGGCTGTGTTTAAAGTTGTCTTTTGTATAAAAAATTGTGGTGATAATGACTATATTTGCAGAAGTGTTTTCCTTTCTAAATGCCTGGGCTGTAGGACATGTGCAGCGTTTTCCTTGCTAGGAAACCTCGGATTTTCACCACTGCCTGTAAGAAGAGCCCATGCTGGGCTGGTGTTGGCGGAGGGCAGTCTGTTGAGCAGCAGGGTGGGCTTCCCCATGGGAGAGCTGATGGATTCCCAAATACAAAGATCAGGTCAGGACAGCAGCGGCGGGTCAAGCCAGAGCTCTGATCTTCAGAAGGACCATCAGTTGGGTGGGTTTCCAGCCTCACGTGCATGTGGGTCTCTGTCCTGCAGCACACCGGGACCCTTCTGGAGTTGTTTTGGGCTCTGTGTTCCCATCTAACTGGGCTTTCACTCTTGCTCCCATTTTATATCTCCTAGGTTTTATTTTCCGCCCAATTTGCAGAATTGCTGCTCTTTTTCCTTCTGAAATCGAGACGAAATGTCACACCAGTTTCAGCAGGTCTAGTTACCTAGTCTCTTGCAGATTGTCAGCACGATGCTGCTTGAGCATTTGCTAAGGAGTTTCATAAATAGAAGCAAGGGAGGGTGCCATTTATTGCTGTAATTTTCTTACTGAAGCAGAGCTTTATGTCTTTGCAGAGTTAATAGCTTTTGCTCAGGTAGAGAACGAGGTGACCTCAGATGCTAAATCCCATTTTGTTCTCTTTAAATGACCAGCTGCACCCCACTACAGTAGTTTCAGTAGTTTGTACCCTCGTTATTGTTTTGTTGGCTTTGTGTTTTGGATAGTGGTGTTTTCATTACCAAGTCCTCTGGGGTTAGAGCGGGTCTGGTGACCAGGGTGCTAAAGCTGGACACCTACATCCAGCCAGCAGCTGCCCCTTCCAGCATAACCTTCTTCATACCCTTTGGTGCATCTCCTTTAGCCTTCAGAGAAGGTGTTTCTTGAGCTGGCAGCTCATTTTGCTGGGATGATGCTGGTGGAGAGGTTCCTCTGCACATCCTGTTGTTAGGTGAGCCACTGACTTGTGTAGTTAGCAGGGGGTTTCAGCAACAAATGGGAAGCTACATCCATTTAAGACTGCAACTTGTCAGTCAGTTGCAAAAAGTTTTATATTTATATATGTATATTCCTGTTTTCTGAAAAAATAGCTCTAGTTTTGAGCTGAGCAAGACAAACCAGTAAGTTAAAAATAAATCTCCAGTACACAGTGCATCTAAACACAAATTGTTTATTACTGGCTATTTTATTTATACCAGTCGTGGGATATTCAACTACTGACCTGGGAACAGCAAAACATCGTTTTTAACTCCGGTTCAGACAGCAGCGCAACAAGCAGAATTTAGCCTTGAGACCACAGAGAAACCCTAATGTAGGTCCCCAGGAGGAAAACCGGGGGTCAGGGTGCTGCTGATGGTGGGCAGGGCTGGACTGCCCTATTTCTGACTGCAGGGCACAAGCAGAGGCATGCTGCTCTGCACCCTCACTGGCGGTGTTGCCTCACTGCCTTCGGCAGGCAGACCAGCCCTGAGTGCGTCTTCCAGAGCACCCCAGCTCTGCAGGCACCTTTTTTTTCCTGAATAATCAGATGTAAATTAACAACAGAGGTGAAAATTCAACCATCTGCTTCTCTTCTACCTAGAAGGAAAAGAAAACAGCCATTAATTTAATTTTATTTACTATTGAAGTAACCTTTTGTATCAGTTTTGGCAGCACTGTGCAATCTAAATGGAGTGCCAGGCATGGTCCCTTTTAATATTTCTCAGTGTAGATCTAAAAGCCTACTTAAAATCTTTGGATTCTAGACCATTAATGAAATTGTGACATCTGGTTGAAAGCCTGTGCAAGGAACGTTTGTAATAGCTGGAGTTTTTATGAATACAGCTTGCATCAGCTGGAAGGGAAGAATATAGAAAAGGCATGGACTTAATGGGTTCTGTTCTGCTCAACATTTGTTCCACTTAAATGAGGGAAATGAAAACTATAATGTTAGCACTTGAAAAGCAGACGGTTTTTCCAATATTTTCCTGCCACTTTTAGCCAACAAACACGATGGCTGTTGCATATGGTGGTCAATGACTACATTTCCTGCATATTTAAGGTTAAAGTCTTTTCCTCTTTTTTTTTTGTTTTGTTTTGTTTTGTCTTTGTTGTTTGTTTTGTTTTTGGGTTTTTTTTTGTTTGGTTTGGTTTGGGTTTTTTGGTTTGGTTTTGGTTGTTGGTTTGGTTTTTTTTTTGTGATTGATTGGTTTTTTTGTTGAAAAAACAAAACTTGCCCTCAGATCTGGAGAGGCAGTCGGGAGGGAGCTCGGGTTCACCCAGGCATGGCCCAGTGCAGCGGGTTCAGCTCACAGAAGCAGGCAGTGTGGACTTTTCTCTATTACTTTCCTTGGCCATTAGGAAAAGCCAGCTCTCGGCTGGGCACCAGAATGCTCTCCTCCCGCTTCAGCTCCTCTCTGCTGTTATTAAAAGGAAGAACATTTTCTTGCTAATCATTTATATATATATATATCTCTGTCTCCACCATATATTTGTTTATCTTCCCATTCTCTTCTGTTTCTTCCAGGTACAACTTGTCTGATCGCGCTGCTGTCAGACAAAGAGCTGACGGTGGCCAATGTTGGAGATTCCCGAGGAGTCCTGTGTGACAAGGACGGGAACGCGATCCCCTTGTCCCACGACCACAAGCCCTACCAGCTGAAAGAGAGGAAGAGGATTAAAAGAGCTGGTGAGTCATAACATTTCTGCTTTGGCTTGAAGGTTCATCTTTTTTCCTCTCTCCTTTGCCAATAATACAAAGAGAGGGACTGAAAAGTTCTAGACTGAGGCGTCAGCGGATAAAATCTTCCATTATTAATACAGCACTTTTCAGTAGGATGTCATGGTGCAGACAGAGAAATGAAGCAGGTTGACCTATCTCTTATCAACTAGTGCCAGAGTAAGAACAGCAGCTTCACCCTCACCAGCCAGTTGACCATCCCAGCCGGTTCCTCTGTTATCTCAGGGAGCACAGAAACAAACAGGAGCAGCAGCACTACAGGCTTCTTCACACCAAATCATAGCAGCAGCCTGCATGTGAGAGGCTGGGGCTGAAGCTGAGTGAGGTTTACTTCCTACAACAAGCAGAGATTCTAATCTAAATCTAATTCATCAGAGATGGTTTTTGCTTCTCATATAGTGACTGCAAATGAGTACAAACATCTGAATTATAGCAGGAGTATAGGGAAAGCATATAAGAAATTACAGTAAATCCTTCTAGCTTTCAGCACTTGTCAGTTCAGCAACCTCCTGGGCTAGAAGTTACCTTTGGATCATGAAGTTTAATAGCCAATTCTCTATGAATATGCCAAGGTCTCTTTTGAACCCATTTTGAACACACAGCAGCCTGCAGCAGCAAATGATTCAATGAATAAAAAAAGTTCCTCTTGTTTGTGTTAAACCTCCTGATGAGAGTTGCCTCTCCACCCCCACATCTTCGTCTGTGAAGTGGAAAGAACAAGTTTTTCCCAGAGTATACAACATTTTTGAAGCCTACAAGTTACCAATACACTCACACCAGCATAAGCACCTGCATGTGTGCAACATGCAGTTTCCTCTTATTTTGTTATCAGCGAGGAGACATTGAGAGCAGTGGGGATCCTTCCTGCTGCTAGAGAGGGAGCTGAGTTCACATGTGCTCTCCAAAGGGGCGGAAAGAATGTACAGATCCTAAGAAGAAGGAATTGGAAAATCGTGGTCTCACTTTGCTTCAACTTCTGTACCTGGGGGATGTATGAATAAAATCTGGAGATCTGTTTGTAAAGTTGCTTCCCTGTTAGCCAAGTTCAGGGCCTCTCTGCAATTGTTCACTTAGAGAAGGCCTTCACTTAGGAGAAAAAAAATACCATATGATCATACCCAGGGCAGCAGTGGAATCCCCATCCCTAGAAGGATCTAAAAGCTATGGAGATGTGGTGCTGAGGGACATGGGGCAGTGGAGACCTGGCAGTGCTGGGAGAATGGTTGAACTCAATAATCTGAAAGGTCTTTTCCAACCAGAACGATTCTACAATTTTTGTGGCCTCATAGTGCTGTTAGAAATGCACATTCTGGTTTATACTACTGCTGGATACTTCTACATGTTGGAACATCCTATCTTTACACACAGTAAGTGTAAAATTGAAGCCAAATGTCCAAACTGAATTATCAAGCCTACATGGCTCCTGTGATGGCAAAAACTGACTTTTTCCCACTATCTAGATACTTTCTGGTCATGTACAACCAAAGAAAGCGACAGTAGCCACATCATTGTGATACATTCTGGTTTTCCAGCTTCACATTGCACCATGGAGCTGCACTGTCCAGGGCTCTGTAGGTAGTTATAAAATAACTGCCCACTTCTGTTAGTAGGATTAGACTTAATTTAAAAGTGAAATCCATATAGCCACAGTTGAGAAAATAGCCTTCAGACCTCATTGTGAGATAAATCAATTTGAGGCAGCCTGAAAAAGCAACTCAAAGAATACAAGGAATCTTCTTCTGACCAGGAGCTTGAGCAGTGTATACAGTGGCCTTGAAACACCCGTGGGTTTGGCTCAGGAAGAAAGACTTGGTTGTAGAGCCACAAGGTGACTGACACGGATAGAAATTTAAGTCGTTCACCTTGAACATAATCCTCTGAGCTCAGCTCTCGCTACAATACAAAATGTTTGTGCTGTTGCCAGAAAGCTTCTTTCTTTCAAGCCTTTTCTTCTCCAGTGGCAGCCAGTGCTGCAGAGCATTTGCTCTTCCCGGAGCCTCACTGTGTGTTCTGAATGGCTGGCTTCATCAAAGAAAATACCACAAGTGCCAACAGACACTCCAGCAAACCACGGGAATTCAACTTGTGCCATAGGCAGTTCCAGGCGCCACGTGAGAATGGCACCAAAATTATTTTGTCCACATAAGCACGACCTGCAGAGACTGGAGCAGTCGTGCTGCAGCCAGCCAGCAGCATCACCCGTCTCCTCCACAAGTGCAGCACCAGGCACAGGAACTGCTCTCCTCGAGCTGTGTGGAAAATAACAAAGTAAAATGGCCTCTTCTCAAGTGGATTTTACTTCCTCTGTCACTCCAGTCCACACACATGATTACACACCAGTTACTAGAGCCCTGATCACTGATGAAAACTTACCGTGGGCTGGTGACTAGGTGGATATGAAACATTTAGTGCCCTCAGAACCTACAGCAGCAGCTGGACGAGTTTGGCTTTGTGGCACATCTAAAGACGTGATGGAGTAGGCTCACCAGTCCCTTCTTCTGTGGTTATGGCAGGAAGCATCTTTTTCGTTAGTCTGGAGAAAAGGAGGCTCAGGGGAAATCTTATTTTCAGCAGCTCCTTGACAGGAGGCTGGAGCCAGGTAGAAATCAGTCTCTTCGCCCAAGGAAGAAGGGACAGGACAAGAGGAAATGGCCTCAAGTTGCACCAGGGGAGGTTTAGGTTGGACATGAAGAACAATTTCTTGCGCAGAAGGGTTGTCCAGGGCTGTGCCAGGCTGCCCAGGGCAGTGGTGGAGTCCCCATCCCTGGAGGGTTTTCAAAGCCATGGAGATGTGGTGCTGAGGGACATGGTTTAGAGGTGACCTGGCAGTGCTGGGCTAATGGTTGGACTTGATGATCTTAAAGGTCTTTTCTAATCAAAATAATTCTGAATCCATATTCATAATGGAGATTCTGTAGAGGTATTTATGAAAACAGCCAGGTAATTATTTTTTTTTTCTGCTGGTTTTAACACAAATCAAGTTTCAAGCTTTAAACGATGGTAAATCACTACATGAAGTGTAGTTTCACCTGAAAGCAGAAGGAATTTACAAATTAGATCAGCCCATGGAGGAATGGAAACACTATGGTAAGATTTAGGTGACTAACAAAAAGCACATGAGCTGGAGTGCAGAGCTGAAAATGTTCTGATCGTGACAAAGAACAAAGACATTTATATGAACACAGAAGCAGACAGCTTGCAGATGTAAAAGACAACAGTTCTCCTGATTTTGTCAGCCATTTTAATGTTCCATGTCTGCAAATTATTTGTCCTCAAGTGACTTTTCATTCACGTTAAGATGATGGGAATGTTGCTATAAAGAGTGCAGGCAGCACAGGTGGTGTCAGAGTCATCGATTTCAGGGCAAAACATATCTAACCAGAATCAGCCTCTAAATGAAATATTCTCAACTAAAAGTAGCCTAACTCCTGGTGATGGTAAAATCAGTCAGAGCCCACACTGCATTTTTCTGACTTTAAGTAAAATCTTGTGATCAGTTTGTTTGCAGCAGGTTTTTGGTCCTTTTTGACACAGCTCGTTCAAGGCAGTTTGAAAGAAGAGCTTTTAAACTGTTTGCTCTTGCTTCTTTGCTTTATGCCCTGCAGTGAGAGAGTCCTACCACAGGGCATTGTCTGTGTCCTGCCCTTCATGGATCTTCTGACACGGGGAAGAGGTGAACTTCAAAGAAGGAGATGTTTGCTAACACGAGAACACAAAGATTGGCTTTCTGTGTTTTTGCCATGAGGCTCCCTGAGCAGCGAGGCGTGTAGTGCAGGAGTACCTGTGTTCAGCACATTGTCAGTCTCTCTGGGGCTGCTTTGTTTGAAAGCAGAACCCTTCCCAACTTCCCTGCTTCCAGCACCATCGCCAGCACTAGCGGCCACAATCCAGCTCTTCCCTGCAGCGCTCTGAGATTTACTTAAGGCATCTCCTGCTTTTTGAGATATGTAACATCTGTAAACGTGAGGATGCAGCAGGATGAATTTTTGGGTGGGTTTGACAGGAAGCCAGAGGAATGCTTTAACTTTAAAAAGGACTGCTTTAAGTGTTGGTGTTTCTCTGCAGGTGGTTTTATCAGCTTTAACGGCTCCTGGCGCGTTCAGGGGATCCTGGCCATGTCCCGCTCCTTAGGAGATTACCCTCTGAAGAACCTCAACGTTGTCATTCCCGACCCCGACATTCTTACCTTTGACCTGGACAAACTGCAGCCAGAGTTCATGATCCTGGCGTCAGATGGTCTGTGGGATGCCTTCAGCAACGAGGAAGCCGTCCGATTCATCAAGGAACGCTTGGATGAGCCACACTTTGGTGCAAAGAGTATAGTTCTACAGTCCTTTTACAGAGGATGTCCTGATAATATAACAGTGATGGTGGTGAAGTTCAGGAACAGCAGCAAACCAGAAGAACAGTAATTACCAGTGGCTCTCCGCCTCACTCTGAACTCAAAACAAACTCTTGCATTTTAAACATAGTAGAAAGTTCTAGTAAATACCATTAAGATTCTACACAAAAGGAACAGATCCCTCTGGTCTTTGTTCTTTGCTTAACAAAAGGAGCAATACAACAAATACATTCTGAGTGACGATAAGAATTAAGTTTACTCACATGTACCTGTCTCCTGTGCCCTTGCTGCTCCTTAGAAACTAACTGTAACCCTCCATTGCAGAATTCTGTCCACAAATCCTCTGCAGAAATTTCATTTGATTCCTTCCCTCTCATTTCTGATAGTCAAAGGTCCTTGTGGATGCACTGTAGGGTCAGGGCAGTGCTGCTGCGTTACTAGGAAGTGATAGGAGAGAAGCTGCTTCCTACTCGTAGGGGTGACTCTGCAGAATGATGCTCTCGTGTCTCTCATCTCTTTTCTTTTTTAATCTGCAGTGATAAGGTTCTGTAGGAAAAGGTTTGTGATTATCAGCCTGTGACTGATATGAAGGAGGAAGAGGAGCCAGCTGTCAGCCTGCTACTGCAGAACTGGCTCCCTCCCGTTGTTGAACTTCCTCTCCTTAAATAAACCTCCACCAAGCATGTGATGAGGTTCAGTTACTGAACTACCCCAAGCCACATGTTGATTCACTCTCTGCATTACTCTTATAACATTCCTTCTATGCCATATTGTATCCAAACCAACTAAGGTTAAACTCCAGCAAAATACTCTGAGGTCTGACACTTTTCATATCAAAAAATAGCTCTGTTGTGATTGAAGAACGTCCGTCATCCACCAAGGCTCTTTGACTTTTCACATGCATGTAAAGAAGGTAATGCGAGATAAAATTAATTTCATTAGCGACTGTTTGGAAAACTAATCAAACCAAGGCCCTCCTTAGAGCTACCTAGGTGGAAGTCAAGCCAATTAAAGGCTTCCATGTACCACTGCAGATTAATTTGTGGTGTTAATCCAGAGGAAGGACACTTCAGAACCGTTTTTTGGTATGATGTATAAATGCCAGGCAGCATCATTGCCATGTAGAGACGAAAGCTTGTGTTAAATCTAGATAAAAAATATGCTTAGATCTAACTTTAAGTATTTAATTGTATTCTGGAATCTGTGACTACTGTAAGTTTAAACAAGGCCATTCTGAGTTTATCCTCCGTCCAATAACTTGGCTGGCTGCTTCACGGTGGAGAGGCAGCAGTAGCAGAGGGACAGGGCAACGTGTTTTTGAGGAGCAGAGCCAGGGCTTGGGTTGGAGGGCAGTGTTTTGGATGGTTCCATTCCCTACAGGTATCACGCCTTACAACACCCCTTGGAATTCCCTCCCTGCAAAACACGGTCCTGGACGAGCCGCTGAAGTCTCTGGTCTTCAGGGTGATGCAGTTTGTCAGTATTTGGGACCTGAGGTGAAACGGGGATCTAACGCAGTAACCAGTTTCATTTCTGGGGTACAGACACACCATCGTTTAGTTAAGAGCTCCCTCTTTCTCCTCACCCACCTCTGGCATTTCTGGGCAGTGTTGTGCTGTGGCTGTGGCTGCGCTGTGTGGGTGTGAGTCCCCAAAGTGAAAAATGAAAGAGCACAAATTTCTGCTCAAGAAGAAATTCTCGCCCGTCTTTTCATTTTTGTTCCTCGGTTATCTCTTCCCTGACAAACTTCACTCCTTCAGCTTGTTTGGAGATAATCAGACCTCTTAATTTGGTTTGTTGCTGTTCCTGGTGCTATTCCCATTGCGTCTGTGTCCGTTAGCAGCCTCTCTTCATCCCAGATGCTGAGTAGAGCCCCTTGACTCTGAGGAACAGACAAACAAAAAGCAGAAGTGTGGAAGTGTCCAGCACCCTCTGAAGCCAGCAGGCACCCAGCCTGCACTGGTCCCCCCACAGAGGATGGAAGGGTTTGGACTTTTTAAATCTCTTGAACAGTGCATTCGGTGAATTTTAAATGCAACTCTGCAGTTAAATTGAGCAGCTAACAGGAAACATTAGTAACGGCAGAGCGCTTTGGTTACTTTATTTTGAGAGGGTATTTGAGGTCACAACGCTGTGAAATGAAAACCTTGAGTGATATTTTCATGGGAGTGCTTAATCGTGTCCTCAGTAATGCTACAGCAGCATATCGGAACTGTGCTCCCAGCAGAGCATGGCACGTTTGCCTTTCCTCTCTCCTTCACAAATGATGTTCCCGTGGTACGGGCTTTTTGTAGGACACTGTCTGGATGTTGGTCAAAGCAGCTGCCCAGGGAAAAAAAGAATTAGACCTAGCAGCATATAGAACCCTAAAGCAGAGGGAAGCTTGTAGAGCAGAGACATCACTACTAGTCCTTCACAGGCCTTGGAGGAGAATTTGGAACTGGAACAATGGCCAGCTCTAAAAAAAGCCATTATAAACTAATACCACTTGGGAGAACAGCTGAGGGCTGCCACTAAGGCCCCTGCAGCGCATGTTGTCCAGGTTAGCGAGCGTGGCCAAGGGACAGCCAACCTTCTGCTGAGCACAGCTTACTCTCTGGTTGCTCTGTCGCTGGAGATAGGCAGGAGAAGGAGGTCCATTCCCTCCATTCCCATCCAGTTCAACCCCAGTCAGCCGTTTTCAACCTTCAACCCCCCACAGTTACCACAATAGTTGTTCTAGCACCTTGAGTATTCTCTGCCACACTATCACCTTTCTAGCAGCTCTTTCCTAGCCAAAGTCATTCATGCCAATGATCTCTGGGAAAGTTGTTGGCTTCTGTTTTTATTACTTTAAAAACCTAGTTACAGTTATTTTAGGTTTAAAGATGGACTAGTGGAGATGAGCAGCTTCGTGCAGTCTTCCACATGGAGTGCCTACCTGTGCCCCCTGCTAGGTATCTTCTGAGAAGTATTTAATCCAGATCTAGACATGAATAATTTCCCAGTCATGCCGATTTGTGCCGAATTCTGTCATGATACGTGGAGTTGTTGGGTGACAAGATGAAGTAATGTGCATATTGCTTATGTAACCTTAACAATCTAGGGTCTGACTCCCCACTGCCTTAATAACATCTGACATCTGGAAAGGGTTGTCAGACACCATATCTAGAAATATCCCTGGCCAGAAGCTGTCACCAGAAACATCCCTGGGTACCCTTCCCTTGAGCAACGTGGCAGAATGTGCTGCAGCACCAGAGAGCAGTCCTGATGCCCTGCCTTGGCTCCTCTCCAGACAAAAAGGGAGAGGCATTTTGAGTGAAGCAGCTTGAACACATCAGAGAGCACCCAGGTTCTCGCTGGATGTCTTTGTGGAAGTTTGGTGTTGCCTAAGCCAGAGCAGCTCCATCTGTCACAGCTGTTTGTCACGTAATGATGGTTTCTAAGGGCAGAAAACTGCTGTCTTGAGTTGCTGCCAAAGAGCATCTTTCAAATAGTCCAATATGAAAAAATGTACCTTGTAATTAGTCATCTGATCTGATACTTTAAAGAATTCAGGCTCTTCCCAGTGATGTTAGAAGTTAGCAGGTTAACCCATCACAGAGCACATTTTCAAGACATTTAGCTGTCCATTCTGATTACAGATACCGTCTAGTTATCATTCTGTGGGCTGCTAGAAAGGCTGGTGACTCCTGTAATGGAAGGGCTACAGCCTGCACCCTCTGTAGCTCCGGGCACAACCTGGGGGTCCCCAGCGGAGGTGCCAGCCCGGTTGCACGGGCTCGGAGCTCCGTCTAGTGGCTGGCCTGGCTGAGGCACAGTGAAGACACCTAACATCACCAAGGATCGTCTGCTGACTTTTGGACGCAAAGTCAGCACCAAACCTACTGCTCTTGTTACAGTATTGCACAGTTTCATGAGGGAAAATTAGAAGAAAATGGGTTGTGAAGTCCTTTGAGTACAGACGTTGGTACCAGAGCAGCACGTCAGCTCCAAGTGACAGGAACTCTGTGTCTTGAACTGAGTTTTGTTGCTCAGCTGCCTCTCAGAATACATGACAACCTTGCTTTAAATAATACTCATGTACTCCTAATGTCCCTGGTACTTATTTTACATAGAAAAACATTTAGTAAATGATTATACTAAATTAAAAAAAAAAAAAATCACCAGCCTTTCATGTCCTAAAGAAGATTTTTAGGCCTCCACCTTGATCTGGCTGTAAATGGCAAGGTTAAAATTCAGCATGTTCTGCTGAAGTTTGGCAGCTGTACAGACCAGAGCTGCTGCCGCTGGCTGGTGTCACTGTATTTATAAATCACCTTCCTAAACCTGAGGACTCCTGTCTAAAAAGACACATACAATTAAGTTACTATTGAGCTGAAGCTTAAATCACTTTTATTTCTATAGCACTGCCTGTCTAAGGCACTGTCTATCTAACACTTTTCACTGTCTAACACCTGTGAAATAAAGTGGCTTTAGGATTTTTCATCCTATGAAAGAAGGTGGCTGTAGGACTTTTAGAAACCCAATATCTAACTAGAAGGGGGATGGGGTGTGGTTTGTTTTCCAATTTTAGGTTTCTTTTACAATTTTAGTTTTTTTTACAATGTGGACTCACCTATACATTTAAAAAAAAAAAACCAAAACACCACCAAAACATCTCCTCAGCTTCATTTTAACTCTTGATTTCTCTCCTTCCTCCATGGAGTACTTGCATTTGGGTATGGTTTACAGCTTAATACATAATGACATTGAAACCTGGCAAGCTTTATTAATGTAACGATGACTGCAGAAAGCTTT